TATATATATATTTGATGATCTGGAATAATTTGAGATAGTATTAAGTAATTTTAAGTAATCCGAGATAATTTAAAATAATCCATATCAAGGGTAATTTTTGTACACTTTAACTGTTAATGACCTCCTGTCTGAGTTATCACAAAGATTACTATATTCTATATATTACTTTAAACGCGTGCAAGCTGTTTAATATTACTAATATGTTTCTATCTTTTTACAGGAAGAATACTTGGGTTTTGTTGCCAGATTGATTCTTCATGTCAGAGAAATGAGTAATATTCTATAAATATTTTATATTAAATATAATAATAATAAATTATATTAAAAATATATGAAATTTATCATAAAAGTAATGACTATTTTTATTATGTTAACATTATAAATTAAACGTAGCAAATTAAATGTAGCTTATAAATTTTATCAATAAAACAAATATAATTTACTATGTTAAAGACTACATAATTTATTAAACATAAACTAAATAATTATGAAGTTAAAGTGTATTTGTTTCAGGAAGATAAAATCTATAGTATATGATGCTTTTTTCTTACTTGTTCGCTGACCATTAGCTGAATTTGGATGCTTGCTGTTGTATGGCTAGCTTGACTTCATGTGAATTTCCATGCTGGTTGATCAGTTGGAATTTGTTTGACAGAAGGCACTTGATTGAAGTATCTGAATAAATAAACATGAACTACTATAAGCTACTGTAATACATGGTTGGAAAAGTGCAATTGCATTATTTTTAATTATTGTGAAGAGAATACTTTGATCACGTGACGTGTTCTGGTCGACTATCACATTGAGCCAACACAAAATTACGCAAAAAATAGCACGAAAATCCAGCAGATCAGCCTGTAATGTGGTAATTAAGCTACACAGTTTCTGGCATGGCAGACCACATAATTTCCAGTAAGATCACCAGCACAGTAACATTCAAGCAATCCAGTAAAAAAAGCATCATGTAAAAAAAAAGCATCAACACAAATAGGTTCTAAGCTAATGAATCATTAAATTATCAATGTTATTGCTAATCGTATTTTTTATTTAATATTTTTTCTTATTTATAAAATTTTAAAGTGTAATTTCTTTTTTCAGTATTTCTTTTTTAAAAGTCTGATTATATTGCGAGATCTTATATGTATTATTTTAATGACATTCTATCCTTTTCGTAGATTCTAAAAAGAGTGCAACTGGTAATGCACCAGGTACTGCTGGCACTAATAATCAAGGAATGCCTGATCCAATTGGTGCTCTTCAGACGTTAGCACGTCAGGGCACGGGAAATAATCAAATGATTAGCATAGGAGGTCCTAATCATCAGGGTATAATCCCGCAACCACCTACAAATACTGCAACTAATCGTAAGTATTATATTTTGCCTCGGTGGTTTAATGGCTTAGGACGCTCGTATGGAATACAAGATATCCGGGTTCAAGTCCTGGCCGAAGTAATATTTTTCGTAATAAATTTATTAACAGTTTCAACATATTAACATCTTTATAATGTGATGCTTGATGGTAGCATTAAATTATTAAATTGCTTGTCAATTTAATACACGATTACTAGTAGTTTTAATTGCGTTTATAGTCCGAAAAAACAATTCGGTGCGCAGTTTGAAAAGACTACAATATGGTATATGTATATGCAAGTATATAGTGTATATTAGTAATTCAAAATTGAATTATTTAAAGCAATGAAGATTCAGTTTCGACCTTAATAGGCATTTTAAATTTCTAGTATTGATTGTGTTTCTCACATATGCGGTCTAAAATAAAGATTCTTAATATTATAATTTGTAAAGGAATAACCAGTAGTTGTACTATTATAATAAATTACATAGATTCTATTTTTAGCAAATTTATTTGCTGCTTTGATTAATCATTTGTTTTACTTTTCTTTCTGCTTAAGGCTCCTGAGTACTCAGCTAAGAACTCTGCATTGACGGTGGCGACATAGAATCAAACGGCGGTCTGGCGAAACCGGTAGCCACACACACAAGCACGAGCCTATGTACATGTGCTCTCGGCGCACCGAAGGCGAGACATGTACATGTGCTCGTGCTCGTGTGTGTGTGTGTATGTGTGTGTATTATAGCGCCTTGCCACGATAAATGGCTGATCTTATAGTCGTGGAAAAGTGACGTTTGGCGATGAAATTTGTGTTTCATTTGTGATGCCATTTCGTTATTATTTGCTTAATTGTGAAAATGTGACTTATCAAAGTCGTAATTATCAACGAAAACTAAAGTTATCTTGGAATTTTATATGTAGAAGCGTATTTTTCACTCGTTTCAACAGCTGTCAGACCGTGTTTCTGCCCGAGTATAGGTTCACTTTACGTGCCTTTTACAATCATTAACTGACTGTCAAGGGAGAAAAGGACAGTTTTCGTCGATTTTTACAAATGTTTTAAAATAATCTCGTCATTTAGATTTATCCAAATTGTCTTTACTTACAAATGATACGTAACATAAATTAACGTGTCATTCCTCGTTTCTGACGTCACGATTCCAACATGGCCGCGGTGATTACTCAGGAGCCTTAAACACTTAACTCATTGTTCCAACTCTTGAATTCTTGAAATATTAGTATTTTAAACGTTACTATTCATTTCACACTTTTTTCTCACAAACTATTCAATGAACCTCATATGAAACCGAGATGTAAGATGAGGATTAAATCCTAATTAAATCAAGATTAAATCAAGATTAAATAAAGATTAAATCCCTAATCCGCTGATTATGAATTAACTGACCTCGTTAATATAAAGCTATATATTGTAACTTATATATCCCTATCAGCCTACTCATTCTTCGTAAATGTTAATCGATTTTTTTATGTTCTTTGATCGATTTGCTAAATATATAGTTTATAAATATGTAATACTTTATTAGTTTATTACATATTAAAAAATTATATTGTTATCACATAATACCATCTCTCTAAATTCTTTTAAGTGGAATGTTATTGAAGGGTTAAAATTGAGCCAGTCTTGAAAAGAGTGGTTCAATTTTTAATCTTAAAAAGCGATTTCACTATTCAGAATAAGATTTATTCTAAAAGTTCTAGATTACATTTTTTTTCATATACGTTTTGCAATAAATTTATATTAAGGATTATTTCATGCTAATAATAAGTTGGTTTTTCTTTTTATGGAATCACAGAATATTTCTTCCAGGTTTTTGGTTGATTACAAGGCTATGTAAAAATTTCTTGCAAAAGTTATTGCTTCCATTTAAATAGTATTATAAGCAGTGTTGTGCAGTACCTAGGTACAAGTACCTAGGTACTGTAACTAGGTACAAATTTGTGTACCTAGTGACTGTATCGAGGTACTTTTTTTTCTAATACCTATACCTATACCTAGGTACCATTTCTTGTGTACCGGTACCTATATTTAGGTACACTTTAGTTATTTTTCGGATACACAATTGCTAAACTGAAAACTTATCATCTGAACGCAACGAACGCAGCCATTGTGATTGATTCACTATAATCAGGGATCGGGTCCTATGGAGTTGATAACAGTGGTGCGCAGACCGAGAGAAGGTACATACGTACACCCAAGGATTTCGATTCTTTCCCTCGAGAATTTTTACAAATTTAGAAGTGACCACCTTTCTACATTAATGCTCACAGTTCGTGCGCGATTAACGATATGATTAAACCTAACGTGTACAACTAAATTCGATGGAAAAATTCATTAAATTAAATTAAATTTAATTTAATTCATTATGTTTATTCATAATTTTTATTATTAAACAAAAAAATTATATATTAGGTTTTAAACTTAATTCCTGTCGCTCGCTACTAGAGGGTGCTGGCTCCAACGCTGGCGAGTTTCGACGATGAAGTCATATGTCTTTTGTAGTTTAGACATCGCTGAAAGTGATTCAATCCTCACAGGTTAGATTTCTCAACGCCAAAGAGATTTTCCAATCGATTGATAATGAATCGCGATAAGCTGTTTTTCCGATATGTGCTTCTTCACTACTTCGACCTCAAGAAAACCGCAGCTGAAGCGCATCGCTTATTATCCGAAGTGTATGGTGATGAAACTCCATCGGAAAGAACATGTAGAGTTTGGTTTGAATGCTTCCGAAACGGTGATTTTGATGTGAGAGACAAAGAACGTCCAGGACAGCTGAAAAAATTTGAAGACATCGAGCTGCAAGAATTGCATGATGAGAATCCAGCTCAAACGCTTTTAGAGTTGTCGAAACGTTAAATTTTACTCCAATGGCTATCTCAAAACGCTTGCATGCCATGGGAAAGATCCATAAGGAAGGGAGATGGCTACCACATGAGTTGTTAGAAAGTGCCATTTCAAATCGTTTGACTATTGCGACTTCTTTGCTTGCCAGGCAAAGAAAAAAGAGTTTTTTGTGGCACATCGTGACTGGCGATGAAAAATGGATTTATTTTGATAATCCCAAGCGGAAAAAATCATGGGTGGACCCCGGCCAACCATCCGCTTCAACGCCGAAGTGGAATATTTACGGGCATATGACCTTGCTGTGCGTTTGGTGGGACCAGGAAGGTGTGCTGTATTACGAACTATTGGGTCCAAATGAAACCGTTACAGCTGATCGCTACAAACAGCAATTATACCGATTGAGTGACGAATTGATGCTAAAAAGGTCATCCGTAGCCAACAATTGACGCAAAGTCATTTTGTTGCATGATAACGTTCGACCGCGTGTCGCGAAAAGCGTGAAGCTGGCACTTCTAGAGCTTGAATGGGAAATTCTCCCGCATTCAGCGTACTCTCCAGACTTAGCACCGTCGGATTACCATCTCTTCCGATCAATGCAACACGTTTTACGGACACACACTTCTCCAATCACAACGAAGTCCAAAAATGGGTGGATGAATGGATCGCTTCGAAAGACACCGCGTTCTACCGTCGTGGGATTGCCCTGTTGCCAGAGAGATGGGAAAAAGTAGTAGAAAATGGAGGAAATTACTTTGATTAAGGTATTCATTCATCTTCTCTTCGAAACAAATTAATTTTGGAGACGAAAAAACGGCAGGAATTAAGTTTAACACCTAATATACATAAAATATATGTATAATAACTTAATAATAACTTAATAAATATTACGTGCAGATACATGAAACATATTTAATATATCTAACAAACAAGCTGTCGAAATTGCATTTTGATGTCAAAATAACGTTAGAAATTATTTTATCGTCAAAATGCAATTTATTCATGTTAAAAGTAAAAGTACCTATTAGATACCTTTAAGGTACATTTAAAATATCTGTACCTGTACCTAGGTATTTTATTTTTTTTTAGTACCTGTACCTGGTACTTCGGTACATTTTTTCTAGAGTATCTGTACCTGTACCTAGGTATTGAAAATAGAGTACCTTGCACAACATGATTATAAGGTATTTAAACGAATGTCTACATGGGCTGAAAAGTCCCGGGATTTTTAATGAAAACAAGCGTTTTTTGGGCAAAGTTATATTTATTCCTCAACATAGTTGCCTTCGAGGGCACTTGATATTTGGTATAGCGATTTTCCAACATTTCTGTCATACGAAACGTCCAAGCCTTCGAAATACGCCTCGGTTTCCGCGATGACTTCCTCATTCGATCTGAATCTCTTTCCCTGGAGCCACCGCTTGAGGTTTGGGAACAGATAATAGTCGCTGGGGGCCAAGTCTGGAGAATACGGTGAGTGAGCAACCAATTCGAATCGTAATTGGTCCAATTTGACCATCGCTTTCAAGGACGTGTGTGACGGTGTGTTATTGTGATGGTACAGAACTTTTTTCTTCGCCATATGGTGCCGTTTTTTCTTTATTTCGTCGTTCAGTTTGTCCAATAACGCTGCATAATACTTTCCCGTAACTGTTCTTCCCTTCTGCAGGTAATCGATGAAGACTATGCCATGCGCATCCCAAAAAACGGAGGCCATAACCTAACCTTCCCGGCCGAGCGTTGATCTTTTGGCCGCTTTGTTCGGCTTTCGTGGCTTTCCAGCCACTTTACAGACTGCCTATTGGACTCAGGCGTATGGTAATGGACCCACGTTTCATCGATCGTCACAAAACGTCGAAAAAAGTCCGCTCGATTACGCTGCAACAACGTCAAACCGGCCGTTGAATCATCAACGCGCTGCTGTTTTTGGTCGACGGTCAGTAAACGCGGCACCCATCGCGCCGATAGCTTTTTCATCTCCAAAAGATCGTGCAAAATGTATCCCGCCCGTTCTTTTGAGATGCCCACGGCCTCAGCTAACTCGCGCAACTTCACTTTACGATCACTCAAAACGATTCGATGCACTTGCTTTACGATTTCCGCATTTGTAGCCTCTTTTGGCCTTCCAGAGCGAGGTGCGTCTTCGGTGCTTGTACGACCCATTTTAAATTCACTAAACCATCGATAAACTGTTGTTCTCGAAGGAGCAGATGTGGGATAACATTTCTGCAACCATTGCAATGATTGTTCAGAAGTTTTTCCCATCAAAAAACAATGATCAAGATGCGATATTTCTGTTATTCCATTTTTTTTACGAAGGCGAAAGTAGCTTCACTCAAACGACTGTAGCTTGTAAACGAATGGATGAAATGTCATGAAACTTCATACATAAACTAGTGACAGATGAGCCTCTCGAAATGAGTCATGCTCATTTTCTAGTGGCGCCACCTATTGAAAAATCCCGGGACTTTTCAGCCCATGTAGAGATTTTCTTTTGTGTTTTTTTTATTAAGTTGGTTTGCAAATAATTATAACTTAAAATGATAACTTATAATTGCTGAAATAATTACAATTTCAATTGGTTTAGAAGTGGAAGTCGGTATAATACATATTCATCATTGTATGTTTTTCTCGTTTAATCAGCGTAAAATCGCTGAAGCAACGAAAATTATTTGTGCCACTTATGGCAAGGGAATTTTATCTGATATTTTATGTCGCGAGAGTTTCAAAGATTTATATAATATAAATATAGTAATTTTGAACTTTTTTTTAGAGCAGTCTTAACAAATGAGTTTGGATTATTTGAAAGCGTTGATGCAGAAAAATTTGACTCAATTAAGAAAGTATAACTCACTATTAGAAATAGAATTCAATATAATAAACAGATTAATATATAATTTAACGCTTATGTGAAACGGAGAAAATCCAAAAAGAAGGAAAATGGGTTAAACTTTGCGATGACGCCAATTGAATCACCATTCGTCTTCTATGAATTGGCATAGACAAAAGTTCTTTTTATATCCAATTACCATCGAAGATGAAAAACTTACTACAATTCTAAACGTAAAAAGATATAAATAAATTTCGGCAAATTTTCTTTTAGTACGATTTCCACGCGAAGCGACTTCCCAAGCAGGGGGGAGTTGGGGTGGAAGTCGCTTTGGGTTAAAGCTTTAGATATACCAAAGTAGCGTATAGTAGGTCCTTTATTTTGGAAGAGTAGCGCATAGTAGATCTTTTGTTACTAACCGTACTCCAATAATATCAATAATATCAAGCGCTTATTGTACTACAGACAACTAAATCGAAATGGTGGTCAAAATAGCCAGGAAGGCTGTCTGCATTTCGGCTCAGATCAAAGGAACTTGCTACTTTGGCATATCTAGGTCCGTATTCATAGTCAATCTGCGATTGATCTTCGTTTCAGACGAGTTAGGTTTGAACCAAAGTTCACATTTCACGCCATAGTTAAATATCATAAACATTTCTTGAAAGTAACTTGTATAAATCGCGTTTTAACCAAAATTTGGATGTATCGCTCATCCGAACTACAAATTGAACCATAATTTACGATTGAGACAGAATTTAACTGAGGATCGTATTCACTCGTAAATTTTTAATACAAAATGTCTGATAGTAAGAAGAGACCAGTTTACTCTGAAACTGAGAAAATTTTATTGAAGGAACTTGTTCTTAAATACAGTGATATTATCGAAAAATATTGATAGCGATAAATGAAAAAGTCAAGCATGGGAAAAAATTTCGGAAGAATATAATCAATACTCCGGTATAAATCAAAAGGTACGTTAGATATTCTTAAATCTAGACGAATATTATTAGACACCAAGATCTGTTCTGACCAAAAATGGCCTTCTGCGCTTATATACATATTTGTGTGATTTACATATCGGGCAATTTTTCAATTATTATTGTTAAATAAACAAATACAAATTATTTATTTTGTGATTCTTATTTTATAAATTATTATTTTACATATAGGCGACAGCGAAACAATTACAATCTTTATGGAAAAATATAAAATCGCCAGCGAGAAATATTAGTAATAGAAAAACAATATTGGCATAGATCCGGTAGCGCACAAGGACAACCTGGATATTAATTATGAAACTTCATCCCTAGGATGGAAAGTGAAAAGTGAAAATTTTACCCATTGAAGTTAATGGAGAAACTTTTCACTTTTCATCCTAGGAAAAAAGTTTCATGATTGATAACCTGATGTACCAATTGATCCGCTAGTTGCTAATGCTGTGCCACATCTTATAGTTGAGATACCAAATGTAATCGACTGTGACATTTCTGATAAAGAAATAATTGGTATAGAAATAATTAGCTCTGCCAAAGGTTTAATTCTTTTAAATATAACTGTAAATACATTCAAAAAATTTAACAATTAAAATTATTAAAACTATTAAAATTGTTGTACCTTTTGGTGCAACAAGATATAATTTTGGGGATTCGATCCACCTGAAGGGTTGGGACCCACAAGGAGTGCTAAGGATGGTGCACGAGGGTTGACGAGATAACACTCGCTTCACTAGTTTTCACAATTTTATTTGAAAAGACCCCTTTTACAATTATTCGGTTAAGTGTAGTATGTGGTATTCACGGTAATATCTTATTATATCGTATATAATATCGTAGCTTATTCTTAATAGTTGCGTTCGCGCATGCGATGATGGTCGGACCGGACGGTATCCCGGTGTTCGCGGCGCGTAACGTCTCGTTATCCCTACGTATCCGAACGAACTCGAATTTTTCGGTCTGCGATTAGGCAGCCGAATATAAAGGAATCGCGATGTCTTATTACGATGTGACCATATATGGTCACGGGAGTCGTTCGGTGCGTGTGCGCTCTTGATCCGCACACGCTGTTGAACTTGCAGCCTTGCATTTCCGCGGGCCGTTGCCATGTCGAAATGCAAAGGCTGCTTTTTTCTAATAGTCTTACATTTTCGTGAGACCGTTGCTATACCGAAATGCAGAACTAAATTGTGGTAGCACTCGGGGCTACAACAAAATTATTAGATAAAATATTTCTGAAACTATAAACAATGAATTTTATAAGAAAAATGATGCTTCTATTCCAACAATTATTACCATCGATATGTCACGGTATATGGGTAGGCAATGTTTTATTACATATATCAATAAAAATAATAGTGATTAATAGCGATATGTTAATTTTTAGTCATTTATATAAAAATTGAAAACTTATAGATTGTAAGAAACGAGATGTAGAAAATAATGATGGCACAGAGGCTAAGTGATGATGCTGATGATAAAATGTCAACACTATCTTCAAGTGGGACGCGTACAAAGTGGTCTTCGCAAAATTTATCTACACAATCATCGCAGTTAAAAGGGCACGATATGCGGACAGAAGCTGTCCAAAATGAGGCGAATGCAAGACTGGATAGATATGCGAAACTAAGTAAAAATGAATATGAGATCCACGCTTTAAATATGGAAGCTGCACGATATAAAGTAATGGCAGAAAAATATCGTGCAGCTTCCATATTTAAAAATGAGCGTAAACAACTTGAGATAACCGAGTCATCAAAAAAAGCTACTGAAATAAAATTAAAAATTCTCGAAAAAGAATATTGTGATATATTTAACAAAGAAAGTAATATTGAAAACATAAATATTTAAATAAATTAAATAAATAAATTAAATAAATTAAATAAATATTTAAATATTTAAATAAATATTTAAATTGCTATTAATATAATATTTAATTATGTTAGAATATTTAAATTAAGTCAAATTAAGTTAAATTAAGTTATTATTTTATCATTAATTAAGTTATTATTTTAACATGAATTAACACAATATTTCAAATAAAATCTTATTATAATTTACTTTGATTGTCTTAATTACATAAAATAATTGAGAATTAATGCTTGACGCGCAGCAATGCCTTCAAGTAGTTGTACACGTACAGGGTCGTTTGGAATTGGTTCGTCCAACGGAAATTCAATTTCATCATTTTCAGGTGCTTTATCATTAATTTGTAGACCTATATTGTGAAGTATCGAACAAGCAACGATAATATTGGAGACGGTTGTAAAACTATTTCCTAAATCTCTCTTTAAACACGGAAATCCTTTCGAAATTCCAAACGCTCTTTCAATTATATTTCTAGCGCGTTTATGTGCTCTGTTATATCGTTCTTCTGTTGCATTTTGTGAATTATTTACAGGTGTAAAAAGGAAACTTGTACAAGCATATGCAGCATCACCTAGCAGAGAACCATGGATTTCTCGATCTAATAATTTCTTATATATTCTAGATGCGCTCTGAATATAGTTGAGTCATGTGTACAGATGGTGCCAGGTATGCCTTAACACCTGAAATTGTACGAGTATTAGGGTCATAATGCATTTGGATTATGATCTCAATACTCGTACAATTTCAGGTGTTAAGGTATACCTGGCACCGTCTGTACTTCCCGCATATCTGGTTACAATATTCAGAAATTTCATATCTGGTCCTGCTATTGCCTATCAATTAATATTTATGAATGTTTATACTTATTTATAATTTCTATTTAACTTTTTCTAAGAAAGATTCAAATAGAATAGAACTTTCATAATATCGATAAATATGTATATACTTAAGTATATTAAGCACATTAATGGAAAAATAAGTTATTCTATTACGGAAGGTTTCTAGATGTGGTGGTCATCTGGATACATTAACAATACGAATATGTGTTCCATAAATCGCACCAAATTTCAGGGATACCCGGAGTATTGCCTATTGTTCCCAGTTGAAACGCGATTTTATATGCAAGTACATCAGCTGCTGTTGTTGGAAATTTAATAAACTGTCTATACTGCAAGGCCAACAATCTTGATACGCGTTTTACAATTCGGCTTACAGTTGATTGTAACATGCTTAAAAGATCATCACATACTATCTATTAAAAAGATAACAGTAAAGATTACGCTTCAAATTATTAACATCTATATTATTATTATTATTCATAAAGTAAAAATTCTTTTTTACTTGAAAATTTCCTGTTGCATAAAAGCGTAAGCAACACAAAACTTGTAATAAGACCTCGTTGTGAATCTTTGTGTAATACTTCATCAACGAGAGGTAGAATGAAATGTATTACGGTATCTTTATTAAATTGATATCTTTTTTTGAATTCTATTTAATTCCACCATTCGAGGGAATTGGGTTGTTGAAAAAAAAATTATCCGTATTATCTTTTTATTGTAAACGTGTATTAATGGCATTAAAACACAAAAATGAAAACAAAATTGTTTTTGTGCAAACCTGTAAATTATTATTAATAACTTTACTATCATAAAAATTCAAATTTTGTAACGTGAAACGCCACGCGATTGGCGTATGGGCTCGTTACGTCACGATGTCATACGGTCGTCGTGCAAAGATTGGATACGATATGTTTATAAAGATACAGCTTTCTCAAACGACTCAAAATTATTAATATATTCAATTATTTAGCCGAATTTCAACACGGCGATGTGTGAAAAAGGCTTCGTGAAAGCAAATAGTAGTAATTTGCCGCAAATCGACATGTTTACAGTGTTAACGTTTCTTAGAGATGATGATCGTTTCAATGCTCCAGAAATACGTTCTGCCAAAGCTTCATTGTAAGTAAAATAATTACGTTTTATTGTGTAGCTGCTCATTAAGAAATAAAATTGAGATTAAAACGAGTATTTAAAGGAACTGTCGTGAAAACTACGGAGATACAGCTATAGGTTATGTTCAACTAAAACGTGAAGGAGATCTCTGCATCGTAAAATGTCGAGTATGTCCTGAACATAAGGTTCGAAGCAAATCATATTCAACAACATTAATCATTAATGAAGCAACAGAGAAAATCATAGACGTTCAGTGTCATGATTGTGCAGCGGCAACCGGTATCTATGAATATATGCAATGAAAGGTGACGCATTATTACCTGTTATTATTGCCAGCCCTCCTTTAAAATTTGTTTTATATTACAGGTGGATGTAAACATGCTTTGGCAGTTCTCATGTGGGTACATCGAAGGAGCGAAGACCCGGCGCCTACAGAAATATCATGCTATTGGAAAAAATCTCGTTTATCAAGTGTAGGCACGGTACTCAAATATATTGAAGTCAAGGATTTGGGCATTCAGAAAATATTAAAACTAAAACAAACATCTATTCCCGATAATAGCACCTTTCAACACGACGTTTTACAATTGGCAGAAAGTAAACAAATTGATTGTCAAATTTCACGACTACATATTGATTTAAAATGTCTGAAAACAAATTATTTATCGTTGCACAGATTTCTTTTAAAATTTTATTTAAATGGAGGTCTACTGTCAGAGGATTTTCTTACTTTTGCCAGTTCCGAGATGACTCAAGTCTTATGCGATGAAGCTGAACGGTTGACACAAAAACAGAGTGATTGTCCACTGTGGTACGAACTCCGATATGGGAGGATTACAGCTTCTAAATTGTACGAAGCAGCACATTGTACAACAGATAGTAGATCGTTTGTTAAACAGATAACAGGAGCGAGTAAAATACACGAAACAAGTGCAATGTTACGAGGAAAGAACTTGGAAAAACTTGTTCTGTCAGAAGTAGAGCGCGAACTAGGTACACAAATAAGGAGTGCTGGACTGTATCTATTGCCAAATTATCCAGCTCTCGGTGCATCACCTGATGGTATAACCAACGAATACATCGTAGAAATAAAATGTCCTTCAAATAAAAAAACATTGGAAAATTTCTTGTCGAAAGATAAAATTATCAATCCTAAGTACATAGCACATATGCACTTACAAATGTTAGCTACAGGAAGGAAAAAAGGATTATTTTGTGTGGCTGATTCGGCTTTTGAAAGTACGAAAACAGTACAAATGCAATGGCTTACATACGATTCAGAAGTAGCACAGGATTTAATCGAAAAGGCAATGCTGTTTTGGAAAAAAAATATATTTCCATTGCTATTATCTTTCGTACAGAAATAAGGTATCGATGTCTAAAAGTATGTAAAATATATAATAAAAGTGTGTAAAATATATAATGTATTCAGAATTATTACTTGTCAATTCTTATATCATACTATATTTTTATTATTGGTGACTGCAAATTTATTAATGCTGAAGCGATCACGATAATGTCATCAGTGTCAGATAACATACTATGGCTTATAACAGCATGTGGCTTTAGAAAATCAAATTCACGCAATCTCCCAATGACACGTTCTATGTGAATTCGTAAGCTAGCAATGCGTTTAGTTTCCAAAACCTCAGATTTCGTAGGTTTATGTATGGACGATACACTTGGCGGTTTTATTAACTCGCAATGTTTTTCTACTAATAGAGGCTTGATATTTTTAAAACCTCGATCCGCCATAACACCACATTTTTCAGGGAGCTTATCTAGTATATCACACTTCTCAAACAATAATACATCCGATATTCTACCCCCATATCCAGTAGAAATGAAATTGATAAAACCATCTAGCCCACAAGATATCAAATATTTTATCGTGTTACATTTTTTGTATTCAGACCAAGTCAAGGTTTGATTTACGGGATTACTCGGCTTTTCAATTTGTATTTCTACAGCATCTACAATGGACTGGACATGACTGTATGAATTTCGAAAAGCAATAGGCAAAGTTCTTTTCACTAAGTTGGGATTCGGAAAGAAGATCAAAGTTTTTAATAAATGACTGAGTATTGGAACTGTTTTTCTGGAAACTATACTTGCATTACTAGGACTCGTACAGAATTGTTCAGCCAATCGTTCAAACGTATCTTGTCTTCTAATTTTCATTAAACATAATTGTACATTTTGGATACTTATATTACCTTTTGTGCTCAAAAGAGGCAACAGTGTATTCCATTCGTTTGGAATCCCTAGGTACGCTTTTATATTAGTACTAATGAGATAGTTTGTTATGTTTAATATGTCTCGATCTTTTTTATTTGGGCTACTAGGATCGTCGAGACTCGTTTGGTCAGAAATTATTTATAATAATCATGAGAACTACCTATATCTATTGTACTTGTAGTACTTGTTAATATGGAGTAATTTGTACAGGTCGTCTTAGAAATAATAGTTTTTGTCGGAGAAATTGCAATATTTGCATGGATAGGTAATTTAATTGGAGAAGAACATTTATTGACAGTCGATACTGAAATGTTGCATGTTGTATGAACACTGCGATAATGTGGTCGGATCTTAACCTGTACGCCAACATTGTGCTGCATCACGGAAGTTTGTATTCCGACGTCCATGAATCCAACTCTTCCTACATCTCTTGTATTCGTAATCGCACATGCAGTAAAAATTTGTTCAGCTCGAGATTTGGGAACGAGTTCATTTATCGCAAGCTCATTTAAAGCAGCAGTTGTACTCTGCTTTGATGTATCTGCAGTATTTGTTGAAGAAGACTCGAATGCTTCTGTAAACATGTCCTT